GCCGCCTCATCAGGATCGGCTTCCTGCAGCTGCCGCACGATCAAGGGATGTACCGACTACAGAAGGAGGGAGATTTCGTCCTACTCATCGTCTACGTCGATGACCTGCTCTACGTCGGCTCCACTACCGACGCCGTCACCTGGTTCGATGGGGAGCTAAGGAGTGACTTAACACTGACGGTGTCAGACACTGTGAGCCAGTACCTAGGTCTGAACATCATCGAAGACGACTCGGCGTTCTACCTACACGTCGGAAAGTACGTAGGCGTTGTCGCGAAGAAATTCGGACTAACGCCGGTCACAGTCGCGACTCCATACCGCTACGGGAACAACCACCTCCGCAAAGCTCCCCGCGAAGCAAATCCAGGAATATCAACAGAAGCTCGGCTGTCTACTGTTCGCAGCAGTAACCTGCCGACCGGATCTGTCCTACAGCGCGAGCCAACTGGCGACACACCTGAAGCAGCCAGAGCAAGAGGATCTCGAGGAGCTAAATCGGGCACTGCTCTACTTCGTCTCTACACTGACGACCGGACTTACCTGCAGCAAAGTAAGGCCATCCTCCGTACAACTACTCGGCTATGTCGACGCCGACCACGCGGGAGATAGGGAGAATCGTCGCTCCAGAACGGGCTACATCTACCGACTAGAGCCTTTCGGGACTATTTCCTGGCAATCGAGCAAGCAGGAACTAATCGCGCTATCCTCGGCTGAAGCTGAATACATCGCCCTCTGCTCTGCGACCAAAGAAGGACTTTACCCGCGGGAGCTGCTCGAGGAAGCGAAAATTGCGACCATACCCGCCTTCTCATTATTCTGCGACAACCAATCCGCAATCAAAATCGCGAACAAAGACAGGTTCGCCAATCGAACCAAGCACATCGTTTTGCGTTATTTCTTCGTCTAAGGATGAGATCGCGAAGGGGAGACTTCAACTCAGTTACTGCCCCATGACAGAAATGGCTGCAGATTACCTGACGAAGAAACTGGCAAAGGCAAAGTTCGATCACTGCATGCTGCTGACCGGGCAGATAAACATCACCGAATCCGAACACGTCAGCACTCCAGAAACGAAGGGGAGTGTTGGAAATACCTCAAAGACTTAAGCGTTTCTGAAGTACAACACTACACTCGAGGAAAGTCGTGTCGGGTACGCGAGTCAACGGAGGTTACACGAGGAGGTTGGACGAAAGAATACGAAAGGACGAAGAGACTCGAAGGGTCGCAACCGGAGGTTGCGATTGACCGTTGCGACTGCAAGGATGGTAATCGAACAGACAATCGAGTCGCTGTGCGACTCGATAATTGTTTCTTCAACTGTATTCTACAACTGCTTCATTTCTTATTTTCTATATATTGCTGTATGCTTGTTTCTTTTAATCAATCACTTGCTCTCACATACTAGTGCAAGGGTTCAACTATTCAACACTTCCACTGCACTACTCAAGTACCGTAATCCCCCGTATATAACACCCGCCGGAATAGTCACTCCGTGGGTGGTTTATGCGGGGCAGAGCTTATGATAGGGTGCATTTAGGAGAGCACCCGCTTTTTCGACCTTGAATTTTACATAACACCCCCCACCTTTTTGCTACGGTAATCGATACAATATTAAGAATTGAAGTACCGTACATCATGAAAGATTCTATAACAGCTACATTTACAGGCCTCAAATTCTAGTCAAGAGTTAGCTACTGAAGCTACATCTAAACACTACTGCAAGATCTAAAGGGGCTCAAGCCCAGTCAGAAATCAGTCTAATACCTGTACTCCTCATCCTCTTCGTCGTCCTCGTCGCCAGCGTGCCACGCCTCCACGTCGTCATCGTCGGACGCTATGTCATCCCAGTCATAGTCGTCTGTCCAGTTGGAGGCCGCGAGCCCAGCAAGCACCTCTGCCGCTGGCGCCATCTCAGAGGAGTCATCACTGGTCGCAGATGTTTCTGCTGCCGACGTTGCTGCTGTTGCTGCTGCTGTCGCGGCCGTCGCTGTTGCTGCAGTAGCTGCTGCTGCTGCCGTCAGACGCGCCTCCGCCATAGCGGAGGACTCTGCTACCTCGGCTGAGCCGGATGCCGTCGATGCAGCTTGGGGCACGTCGCTGTCGTCGTCGTCGTCGTCATCTTCGGACAGCTCGTCTGCGGCGGGCTCGACGAAGTCTGCTTCGTAGAGTGGGTTTTTCTCGCCGCTCTCCTCCATTTCCGCGTGCACATCATCCATCACTTCCACATCTGACTTGTCCTTCATATGGGCGAGGATGAGTTCATCCTCCGTCCCATTAATGTCGGTGGAGATGCCGCAGGTTTTAAAGGCGTTTCGGATGAGCTCGGCAGGGACGGCCTCCCATGCGGTTGCGACCCACTGTAGCACCACCTCCGCGGGGGGCTTCTTGAGGTTTCCTGGTGGGGGCGCAGAGAGATAAGGCGGTAGAGAAGGCAGTCTTTAAGAGTCGGAAACTCTTAATCGATAAAAAGACCGAGCGTCTGAATGGTCATGAATACGACGGAGCACACGTAATGAAAGCAGCGCGGAACGCAGGCACAGAGCGGCATCGACCTCACCTGCGGGTGTTGTTGAATCGCAGCCATACTCTTCAAACCAACCTGTGTAGGACCGCCTCACATGCGCCTTCACACAGCGGTTGATAGCCACGTCGAGTGGCTGGACGATCGGCGTGCAGCCGCCAGGAATCACGGCCCTGGAGAGCTTGAAGAGGCGCATCGCGGCTGACACGCCCTCGGTCAGGTGCCCTTTGTAGCTGTCGAGGACGACGAGGGCTTTTGCCCGACCGCCACGCCTCGCAGGGATTCGCTTAAGGAACGGGACGAGCACTGCTGTGATCCAGTCCTTCACGTGCTCCTCGTCCATCCATCCTTTCGGCTGCGCACGGATGACGATGCCTGGACACAAAAAGACACAAGCATATCAGGCGGGGTCAAGAAAAAGAGGAAAACAACACGGATGGGACGGGGATTACGATAAACAGAGTCAATCAAACAACAACATTCTAACTCACCAAGGGGGACTCGGATATTGGGCACGGTCTTCCGCTTGAATATGACATACGGCTTCAGCTTCTGTCCAGCAGCAGTGACCGCCAGCATGACGGTCAGCCGTTCCTTCTCGTAGCCGGCGGTGCGCACGTGCACCGTCCTTGAGCCCCGGACCTCTAGCATTGTTTCCTGCGGCATCTCCAGAAACAGAGGTGTTTGGTCGGCGTTGATTATCAAGTCGTCGAGGTAGCAGTTCAATTTCCGCATCTGACGCACAAACTCCCAAAACTTCTCCACTTTTGCCTCGCAATCTGCAAGCACAAAAAAAATCAAGAACAAAAAAACAGGCAGACAGGGAAGAACCCGCAAGAGTAAGAGTCAATTATGCAAGGAAAACGGCGTGGAAAGACTCGGAGCAAATGAAACTCACCGGATGTCAGGCGTTGTCCCATCTTGGTCTTCACACGCCTCGTCAAACCCCAGCGCGTGCGGAAACGGAAGGTCCATCGCGACGATGCTCGCCAATCGACTCCAGGGTGCCGCTTCTTCATGTACTTCCGACTCCACTTCTGCAGGCAGTTGATGGAGACTGCCAAGCCACGCGCGCGATGGGAGAGGAAGCGCTTGTACAGCTCGCGCTCCATGTCGGGAAACTTCGACTTGCGCCCTGAGCCGACGAGACGACGCCTGCAGCCAGCAGCCGCCGCCAGTTTCACCTTGTTCTTCTTCCATTCGCGAATCTGACAGGGCTGGACATCCGCCATCCTTGCGAGCTTGCGGTTGGATAGATTAGGGTCGTCGTCAAGCTTGCGCAACCAGAAGAGCTTCTCGGCCGCCGTGCGTGAGACTCTTTTGCGCCTCGTCCTGCGATTTCTGGGGGAGGGAGGTGCGGCATCACGGTTAACGCGAGGCATGTTGGGACGACGCCTAGGCTGAGGGAAAGACGGAATAGCAACTCGAGGAAGTGTCGGCGGAGGCTCAGGCTCTCCGTCGGCAGCCTCCTCCCAGTACAAATCGTCCTCATCGTCTTGCCATGAGTTGTCCCATTCAGGCGGACGCCTGGGATTCGGCGACGAGGGAGCGGGAGGCGCGGGAGGTGCGGGAGGTGCAGGAGGTGCAGGTGGCGCAGGTGGAGCGGGAGGAGCAGGTGGTGCAGGTGGTGCCGGGGGAATCGACAAGAACGGACGGAGTAGGAACTGATTGCCGGAGAGAGGACGATGGGTGCGCAATACAGAGAGGCCGCTAAACGTACGCGCTGCTATGGCAGCACCTGAAAGGGAGATTGCTAGACGAGGGACTAGTGTCCCAGCCTCTGTTAGAGAGCCCGGGCATCGTGACGGGTTTTGTGTCGAGAAACGAAAGCAGAACTGAAAAAGAACGCTGCGGTAAGAAAGGGATGAGCAAGAAACGTGGTTGGAACCCCAGCCCGGAGCGCGCACGGTCTTTCGCAAACCGGAAACACAATTGCATGCCAGGTTCGATATGCCAAGTTGGAAGGGCATATTCCCTCACGTCTGCTGCGTTGGCAGCATCCACCGCGCGGTCAGCCCTTCTTACCCTGCGCTGGCAGCCTGTGGCTGCATTTTTACCGCTGGCAGGCACGGCCGTCTGGGATTGGCCACGCCTGGTCGTGCTGATATCGAATTCGACACGTCTGCAACTGCATCCATATCGCCAACATCGTTTGAACAAGAACCGGTAGCTGTATAAGCCTTAAAACACTCAAATTCAAATTGCATTTTACATAACACATGGGCACTATATTTTTCCGGGCCACTGTTAAGACCCTGTCATATTTTTAGTGAATTTTAATATCCACCATAGGGTGTTATATACGGGGGATTACGGTATCTTGTACAAGTGGACTTAGTCTCTGGAAAGATCCTAAGGGCTATTTTCTCAGCCCAACACTAGTGTTCTACTCTCTAAGAGCATTCACCTATCTAGCCTATAATAACATGCATATATGTTTGACATCAGTTGCCTGCTGCCTGTTTTCATTACAGTAGCTGTATAAATAGTTTTAAACTGGTAGATTCCGAAGAGCACCACATGCACACTGCACACAGTGTCTAGTACATAACCCTTATCACTGCTTCATGAAAGAAGCACATGGTCAAACTGAATTAGCCCGGCAGGTGGTGTAGTATGGCTCCTTCCTCACGGACGCAAGCAAGCCTAGAGAGGCTCCGTATGGTCAGCTACTGCTGGGTTAGCAGTCAAGTACCGCAACCCAGCACCTCGTTATGCTGAAGGCAACACAGCCCTGCCTGTCCTATGCTCCAGACATTCACTTGTGCGGTGCCACTGTCTGTGCGACTGCTGGTATAATCCAGCAGGCTAAAAGGCTTCCCCTCCAGTATATCATTCATCACCTCGTGGTGGTTGTGGAGTCGATTCAGTAGTCACCTCCGCTCCTGCTCTGGTGGTGCACTTACGGCAGTGCGTGCACCCACACACGGAGCTGTGATTTCTACATTTGTGCTTGCCGCATCCCAGGGTGCTACTTGTGGTTGCTACAGCCACTGAGCTGCTGCTGCTGCCTCCCCAGCAGCGGATCCACAACACGTCGGACCAGACGCCCTTGCTGCCACCCACTTGCTGCCACCCACTTGCTGCCACCCACTTGCTGCAACCCAGCTGCCGCCCACTTGCTGCCACCCACTTGCTGCGGTGCATGCCAATCTTGCATGTGTGGTTTGTGGAGGCTGTTCAGCGTTTCTGTTCGCTTGCTCGTTCTGTCACGTACGGTACACCCCACGCCTGCCAAGGAGAAAAATGCCATGAAGCACACAGGTAAGTGCACAAAACGGACAGGAAGCAAGCCACAGGGGGTGGAAATGCAATGAGGCGTGGCTTCGAGCGTGTCCAATGTGTTATTTTTGTGGATGACAGAACGGATGACAGAGGCTGCCAAGCCGTTTTGGCGCGTCCAAAGTGCTGTGCAGGGACCCTGGCTCAACGGATGACAAACGGGTGACAGAACGGATGACAGATAACTGTTTGGACACGCTCTTAGATGAGGAGAAACAGAGGGAAGGTATGCACCACTGGTGGTCGCCTCGCCATATGGAGGAGATCAGACCACTCAGAACTAGCTTCGAGAGAAACGAACTTCCCAAAGCAGCCAACCCCCCCCTTTCCCGTTCCACCCCCGTCCGTTTTTCCCCTCACCTGCACAGCGCGCCCATCTGCTGCGCCATGGCTGCCCCGCGCGCAGGCACGGGCCCGTTCTTGACCTTCCCTGCGAGCAGCAGTGGCGCGCGCACGTTCTTCACCATGCCAAACACGTTGCTCACTTGCGGCACGAGTGGGCGCGAGCGCGACGACGAGGAGCGCAGGTCAATGTCCTGCAGTGTGATGCTGCGGCAGGGCACCGATGACGAGCAGTTGAGGATGATCCCGATGGGATCCGACGAGTTGGTCGTGCCCACTATCTTGCTGTACGACACCCCCGATACTGCTACAGCCTTGGAGGAACCCTCTCCGCACTTGCCGTCCACGTGGCGCTTGTCGCAGTAGCTCTGGTCGATGACGATGGGGCGCTCCACGTCCACCATGAAGACGTTGCGGTACGTGACGTCGCGCACGCTGCCCGACCCACCCTGGTAGGTTTTGATGCGCAGCCCGTTGGAGAGCGCCTTTAGCACCACACGCGACACTGTGATGTTGGACACGCACGCCGTGTCGCCGTGGTCGCCCAGACTGCCGATGCTGGGGGAGGGGGAGAGAGGGGAGGGGGGAAGGGACGGAGATAAGGGAGGAGAGAAGGGAGGGGAGAAGGGACGGAGGGTTTAGGAAAGCTGCACTTCCTCGTGTGTGGGGTGATGAGAGAAGCGGATAGGGAGTTGAGGGCTGGGTAGGGGATGAGGGAGGTGAGGAGGAACTTTGTTGTATGGATCTAGACCTGCTCTGAAAGGTGACACCGTGCAGCCCGTCACATCCTACCATTCCATCATCCCACCATCCCACCATCCCACCCACTTACTTCCTCCCCAGCGCACCTGATGCCATGGCCGGCCACACACCACGTGTCGGAGATGAGCACATGCGATGTGCCGTCCTCAATCACTATGTTGTCGTCACCTGCCACGGCACCATGGGGCGCACACATGAGACATGAGACACGGTAGTGTTACGCATGGGTGGCCACAGAGCGGGGTGAGCAAGGGGGTTGCGAGCTTGCACGTGAGACACATAAGGGGCCGCGGCCAGAGAAAGTGCAATGGATGCATCCACCTAGTCATCAACGGAATGCAGGCCCAAGGGAAGTATGGGGGATGGCAGTGTGGCAGGAGCTGTGTGGCATGCAGGCATGGGCACAGAAGCAGCGGAGTGCGCGCTGGGGCTGTAGGGCACCAGCAGTCACGCCGTGCCGAGTGTGTTGGTGCAGCATGCGTGTCGCATCTGCTCACCTCCATGCAGCGTGCAGCGCTGCACGGCCACTTGTGTAGAGCGTGTGATGTGGATGGAGTCGGTGTTGGGGCTCTCGGACGGGCTGTCCGTGGTCACATTCACCACCTTCACGAAGTTGCTCGACGCTATCTCCAGGTGGATCGTGCCGGGGTTGCTGCCATGGTGGGAGGGAGGGGAGGGGACCATGGGAGTAGACGGGGGAGGAGGGGGGTGAGAGGACGGGAGAGGAAGGGGTGGGGTGTGGTGGTGGGCGGTGAGGGGGCATGAGAAAGTGGGAATGTTACGCAAGGGACATGTCGAGCGCCATCCGCCGTACAACAACTGTGCAGACCATGCTCCACTCTCCCACAACGAATCACATTGAACAGAGTACAACCGCACACACGGCAACTACCCAAGCCCCCCCACCGCTCTTCACCGCCGCTCACCGCAGAGTGATCCCCTGCACCACCGAGTTGTGGCACGTGTCGGCCACGAGCAGGTAGGGGCGCTTGAGCGACGACGGCAGGCGGTGCTCGTTCCACAGCTGCCACCAGCGCTGCGCGCGGCCGTCGATGGTGCCACGACCCGACACCATGAGCCCATGCACGCCAAAGAAGTGCACCACGCCCAGCTGCACCGGCGGGTGCAGCGGGTCGTGCGGACCCAGGATCGTGCCGTCCAGCTGGGTGGTTGAGGGGGAGGGGAAGGTTTGGGGGGGGGAAGGAGGGGGGGGGGAAGGAGGGGGGGGAGAAGGAAAGAGGGTTAAGGGGAAGCATGGGGGATCGAAGGGGAAGCCTGAAGGGCCGTCCAAGTGCCGTTGAGGGATTGGGGGAGGAGAGAAGACTGAGGGGGAGCATGGAGGATTGACGGGGAAGCGGTGAAGGGAAGGCGGCACGGGGAAGCTCCCTCCCTCTCTCTCTCACCTGGAACACTAGTCGGGACCCGCAGGGCCCCACAAATCGCAAGTACCCGACGTTGTACCGCCCGCTGGGCACCAGCACGGCCGTGGGGTGCGTGGTCAGCCGCCCCAGCTTGCAAGCCGCCACAAACGCCGCCTTGAACGCGCGCGTGTCGTCGTGCACACCGTCCCCCACCGCTCCGTACCGCTTCACCGAGAACTGCCTCTCGGGGGGCGTTTGCGGAGTGGGCACGAGGTACTTCTGCCCGCGCGCAAACTTAAAGGGCAGGTCGGGGGTTCTCCCCGAGGATGGCTGCATGCTGTTGCCGGGGCGGGGGGAAGAGGAGGAGCGGGAGGGGGAGGAGGACGACGATGGGGACGGCTTGGGCCGCTTGGCTTGCATCTTGTTGCCTCCACTGCTGCCGCTGCCGCTGCTGCGACTGGGAGAGGGAGAGGAGGAGGAAGGCGGGGGCTTGGGTTGCGATCCTTTGCCGATATTGTCGGGGCCTGGTGCGCTGGGGTTGCCCTTCCGGGCCTTCATTCGGGACTTGTACGCGCCGCTACTGGTGCCCTCATCGGTCATACTGCTTTGAATCCTGCTGCTGCTGCTGCTGCTGCTGCTGGTGCTGCTGCTGCTGCTTCTGTCGCTTTGAAGCCTCTCAGTTGCATCTGCAGGTCTGGGCGTAAACCCGCTGGTACTGCCACCACCGCTGCTGCTGCCGCCATTGCCGCCGCTGCTGCTTTTCTGAGAAGGGCTGGTGGCAGGCGGAGAGGGGGAGGGGCGAGGGGTCGGTAGGCGAGGCTTGAAGCCAAGAGTGGTGGTGGAGCGAGAGGATAGCCAGGGGACGGAAGCGGAGGAGGGGGAGGTGGGGGAGGAGGAGGAGGAGGAGGAGGGGAGTGATGGTGATGGTGATGCCTCCCCACCAGTATCACCACTTTCGTCAGCAGCATGAGTCTCATTGGTATCGGTCGTATCATCAGTACCACCAGCACCATCAGAGGTATCAGTGTGAGGTGAGCTATCGGTATCAGTGCCGGCGTCAGCATCAGTTTGAGAGTCGCCAGTTGGTGAAGACCCGTCCGGAGGGCTGCCACCATAAGGTGGACTGTCAGGGTTAGAAGGGCTGTACGCGGTAGAGTCAGCATCGTCAGCATTGTAAGGCTGCTCAGTGCCTAAAGCAGCCTGTGAGTCAGCATCCGAGTCAGTCTGTGAGTCAGCCTGTGAGTCAGCATCCTTGGTGGTGTAATCTGAGAGGGGGTCCGAGTCAGTGGAGGGGCCCGCGTTAGTGTCACTGCCAGAGTCAGAGCCAGTGACAGAATCAGAATCTGCATCACGGGTAGAGTTGAAATCAGATTCAGCTTTCAACTGGGGGGGGTCAGAGTCGTAGCCAGCAAGAGGGTCGGACGAGGCCGGGTCTTCTTGAAGGGTGGATGGGTCGGACTGGTCAACAACGGGCGAGCTATCGCCGCCATTCTCGCTCTCCCCCGTCTCCGCACCCTCCCCTCCTCCCTCATTCACTCCTACCTCGTCCCCTCCCCCATCCGCACTTCCAGTGTCGCCGTCAGTATCAGACGAGAGCAGCGGGGAGGAGGTATTGGAGGTGCCATTGCCTGTCGTGCTGGCGATGGGGTCACCGGTGGTGATGTCGGCCGTGGTGGGGGGGGCGGAGGGAGGGGCGAGAGACGAAGCCTGCACGCCGTATTCCCCGCGAGCGGCGGAAGCAGCCGAGGAGGAGGGGGGGGAGGGGGAGTCCGGGGAGAGGGCAAGGGGGGTGGGGCGAGTGCGGAAGGCAGTGCCCTTCTTGGCCAGGAAGGAGATCATCCCCAGGCCGTTCTCGCCCCTCCATCCGAACTCGTCCTCGCTATTGTCCTCCTCGTCATCAGCATCGTCGTCGTCGTTGTCGTCGTGGTTATTATTCCCGTGGCTGCTGTGAGAACCAGACACGGCAGCGGAAGAAGGGGAAAGCGCAGAGGAAGCGACAGCAACCGAAACACCAATGCGTCTTACACTGGTGGTGCGTCCACCACCAGCATCACCAACATCACTACCATCTGCACCATCTGCACCATCTGCACCATCTGCACCATCTGCACCATCTGCACCATCTGCACCATCTGCACCATCTGCACCATCTGCACCATCTGCACCATCTGCACCATCTGCACCATCTGCACCATCTGCACCATCTGCACCATCTGCACCATCTGCACCATCTGCACCATCTGCACCATCTGCACCATCTGCACCATCTGCACCATCTGCACCATCTGCACCATCTGCACCATCTGCACCATCTGCACCATCTGCACCATCTGCACCACTGCTGCTGCCGTAATCAGTGTTATCAACTTCGCCGATACGAGGAAGGGACCGTGACACCGACACCCACTCCACGCCATCATCGCCATCCCCATCCCCCGCCCCCGTGGAGCTACTATCAGTGCCGTCAACGCTCTGGATCTCCGCTGTCGCACCGGGATTACCGCGCTCGTCTCTCTCGATCAACCCTGCCTCATCGTACCACGCGCTGCCAGCACCGTGCGATCCCCCCTTGCTGCTGCTGCCTGTCAACTGGCCCCTTTCCCCCCCATCCCCCGCATCTCCGCTCGTCTCCGCGGGAGCCTCCCCCTCCGCTTCTGCGCCCTGGGCCGCCTGGAGCTCGGCGGAGGCCGCGGAAGCCTGCGCGGGGGCTGATTGCGCGCTCGCTGTGCAGGAGGGGGGTTTGAAGAGGCACGCGGGGAAGGGCTCGCACTCGTACGCGGTGACTCCCGCTGCGACCACCCTTGTAACGCTAATGCGCAGCATCATAGCGGGACGGCGCGAAGCGGGGACGGGGAGGGGGCGGGAAGCGGGGGTGCGCGAGGCGGAAGGGGAGGGGGTCGTGGTGGCGGGGCGGGGGGGATTGCTCGGGGCGCCCTGCGGGCTATTGCGCCTAGGGGAGGTTGCGCTTGGCGCGGTCTTCGGCGGGTTTGACAGCGCTCGTTGCGGGTCTGGAGCGGAGCTTCCCAGATCAGGAACCACCGCGGAATTCCCCCCTCGCCCCGCCGGTGCGCGTCCGGGGGACGACGGCACCGCGGGGGAAGGCGAGCGCGGAGGGTCTACCCGAGGAGAGGGGGTAGCAGCGGGAGGTGCGGGCGACGCGGGAGCGGAGGGAGCAGAGAAATCGGGCTCGCTACCCAAAGGATCGTCTGGGTTTTTAGGGGGGAGGCGTTTGGGGAGGTACGATGCGGGGTCGGTGGATGTGCTAGTGGGTGGGGAGGGTGAGGGCGAGGGCACGGCGGTTGTTTGCTGCTGCTGCTGCTGCTTGCGGAGCGGTGCGACGGAGTTTTGAGTCCGGGGAGGAGTCGAAGAACCAACAGACGGACTCACGGACGCGCCCACAGGACCCTTGCCCCCCAGCACAGGGCGCTTCGCTCGGAAGGTCGGTCTGGGATGCACCGTGCCTAGGTTGCTACTTCGACGAGGGTTGGGCGCGAAGGTAGACGAGGCACGCGCAGTGGCAGTCGCGGCATCGCTGACATCTCCAAACTCCTCCTCCCGCTCGCCCTGCTCGCCCTGCTTACCCTCCTGAAGCTCGCCGGTATTCCCAAGGGAGCCATCTACATTGCCTTGGCCGCTTCTCGAATCGCCACTGTCCTTTCTACCGTAGGGCTCAGTAGCAGGGGAGGTATTGCTGGGCGGGTCCTGCGCCGCTTGCGGATCTTCCGCCGCCACCAGTCCCGTGTCGTCCCCCCCCGCGTACCCATCCACCGCGCGATCTTCTCCGCCGTAATCCGCTCCGCCGTAATCCGCTGCGCTAGCGCTGTGCTCCCCTGGCACCGCGCGCCGTGTCTTTCGGACAACCCTCCCTGTTTGCGCGTTTCCCGCGGCTCCTCCCGCCTGGGCCGAAGGCCCACCATCGCTCCCCGCGCCGTAATAAGCGGAGAGCAGAATCGGCTGCTCCGCCTCTAACGTCATGTCCACGTCAGCCTTGGGGTTACCATTCCCGCCGCCATAGTAATCATAATCGTAGTCACTATCGCTCACTCCCTTCTCCAACAGACCCCGGTCCTCGCGCGCTTCATTGCCCACGTATAACGACCCGCCTCGCTTTTCTTTCCCGTATCTGTCCCCTTGCCCATTCCCCATCCCCGATCCGCTTCCTGCCGCCACCTTAGCCCGGCCCTTGGCCATCCAAGCGGGTACGAGCTCCATCACCTCGATAACCGTCTCCGTTGCTCCTGACTTTAGCGTTCGCACATTAACGGTGCTCCTCACTACCACGGGTTTCACGCCCGCGTCCGCGCTGCTAAGCTTCGTTGCCAGGGCCGAGCCGCTAAGAGGCTTGGCGGGAACGGGTTTCACTGTGGAGTTGATCGTGCGCGTCACGACAACGTTTGCCGCCCACAGCGGAGGAGAATCGCAGCGCTTGTACGAGGTGCAGGGGTCTGTTGAGGGCGCGAATTACGCGGAGGAGTGGGGGAGGGAGGAAGGGCCGGTATAAGTGACGAGAGAGGAAAGGGGAACAATTGACGATGAATGATGTCGTAAGGTCGCAATTAGCGCTGTGCTGTGGTGAGAGAGCAAAAGCAAAGCGATATCGAAACTGATGCGAGAGTGATGCACGAGTGCAGCAGGCTCCACTGGCGGTTGGAGGTGCTTACTGGACAGGTGGATCTGGCAGTGCGAGTCGAGCAGGTAGGCGCAGTTGTTGTTCATGGCTAGCGCGCCGTCCGCTGGCGCCCACGCGTCCCATGGCTCCAGCGAGCGACTGGGAGAAAGGGGAGAGGGGGGGACGAGGGTGGTGGGGCATAAGGGGCTGAATGTGACGCATAGGTGGCGCGCTGTGGGGTGTGGTTGAGGCGTAGGGGATGAGTGTAGGGAAGTGTTGCCCGACAGCTAACAGAATGGAGGGAAGCGGGGAGATGTGGACGAGAGATGGGTCAAATAGAGACCGTTTTGAACGGGCGAGCGCTAGGGGAGCGAAAAGGAGGGCAGGAAGGGAAGGGGGAAGGGAGGGGGTGGAGTGTGCCTACCCTGTGCTCCAGAAGGGATCCAGCTCGAATCTCCCTATCTCGAAGTCGTATATGCATGCCGCCACAGAAGGGGCGAAATTGCGGGTCGCCGTTGCTGCAGATAGACAAGGGCAGATAAAAGTTGGAAAGTTAATGAGGATAGGCGGATGGCGGAGGGGTTTGGGAGGGTCGTGTTTCACTTGGGACTCGGTAGCTAGCAACTGGAACTGACGAGTATGTTCGTAGCGATACGATGTCTCGGTTTGCAAACCTACCCTGTGAGTTTAGAAAGAGAAAGAGGGGGAGAAAGAGCAGAAGCTGCCGTGAGGCGAAGCCGTTGCGTGCGAGAGTGCACTCCGACGCGCCCATGGCTTGCTGCTTGCGAACGCGCCAGGAGGGCTTCAGTTGGGTGCAACTAGGAAGACATTGCAGGGTAATAATAAAAATGGAGACCCGAGTCTAGCCTGCCCTGTGCTGAGATCGAGTTTTGGCGTAAAGCACACAACCCTTGGGCCGTTTTGCGATCGAGCTGCAGCGTCGACCCAGCCGCTGTCTGTCATACCAGTGACATGCTGCTAAAGCTTTTACCAGTGTGCAACGGGGCCATGAAACGTGAGCGAGTGATAGGGAAGTCTGCTGGGGATGGTTCTTAGGGGCCTGATGCAGGTAGGATGCAATGTGGCAGGTGCTGATGTGTTGCACAGGGTGAAATGTGCAAATGCCAAGCCGAGCCGCTATCCTCTCATTCAGCACGAACGCCCTCTCCCACATGTGGGCGGTATGATGGGCTCTTCAGCCCACGGGGTTACCACTTTTGCCAACGAAGCTAGTCACGACGCTAGATGTCGCAGAGTTACAGTGGAGCTCAATATTTGGGGTGTGCTGAGCAACAGCGGTTTCGCCGCTCGTGCGTAACCAGCTCGGATGTCGTACATCACGACAGCACGTCTCCATCCTCGTCGTGATTCTACCAACCGACCACCCAAAACCGGGACGCGTCCTGGGATGACGGCCTTCCACAATCTGAACTTGGGGAAGCCACATCATCAGCACGAATGCTTTCCCGAGCCACAAGGTCTGTCATGAGGCCGAGTCCATGATGTCTTCTGTACCTGCTCAATAATAACGGGTTCCCGTGTTAATAACGGAAAGGTGTGGAACCATAGCTACAACCAAACACATTTAGGGTGTTTTCCTTATTATTCCAAAAGGATTTATATACATTGTAAAATGTAAAGGGTCGCAAAAACAAAACACCGGATAATTATATTTTAATAATAATGTAAAATTTCAAAAGTGTGTCAAGCATGCACATATAAATATACGCATCCACATACACCCATACATAAGCACACACATAAGAGCACAATCCTTATTTTTAACACAAGATTCCTCCCTTCTTGATGAGTGAATCTGGGGTAGGGAAAGTGAAGTTCCATGGGATCCTTAGAATCATAGTTTTTATAGACTCCCATCTTTAACACATGCTAGCCTGTATATACAGGCCGCTAATATCGAACAGTCGTTTTGATTGAGCAAGGCGAATAGAGGGATTGCGAAGAGGTGAGGTACGACTGATTTCGGTGAAGAAAGGTTGCAGAAGCACAGCCTCGCACCATCAATGCCCCATCTCACACCTCGTCACCTCCACCACTCCCATCCGTTCGCCCACCACACCTCAACGAATGCCCTCCGCAATTTCCGATCGTGCCTGAATAGCTCGCCAGTACTAGAAGCTATTTATTCCGCCTTTTGGGATACTGCTGTAGGCGCAGTACCTCTACGTTGCCATCGTGGCATTCATTCCGCCAGCTTTGAATTGATCCACTCAGTAGATAAAGCCGGTCCATTCCATAGATTGTAGTAATATATGTATTTATTGCCCACCTGCTAGCATGAAACCATCAGCTGTAACGCCGTTGTTAGCCCTCCTCGCAGCGATACTCGCTGCGCAATGTGCGGCGGACGATCCTCCTGTCCCCGTAAATTTCGGCATGGAGTTGAATCTCGAGCATGCCATGTCGCTCCATCGCGTGAGTCGCCCATAGCGTTGCCCGTGTCGCCCGTGCCTGTCGCCCTTGTCGCGCATCGTTTTATCTGGTCCCTGGTGAAGTTTATGCCCTTCGCCTAACTTCCCAGGAAGCCTTTCCGTGAACGTTTAGTTACCTGATCACAACTAAAAGCGCTGCTTGCCTGGCGGAAGGTATTGGTGCGGCTCGCTTTTCGATTATCCTCCGGATCGCACACGGATTGCGTCACTGCCCACTTATGCCGCACGCCTCACGCATCCCCCTCCTTTCCCCCGGCTCCCCCCGTTCTCCCCGCTCCCCCCGTTCTCCCCGCTCCCCCCGTTCTCCCCGCTCCCCCCGCTCTCCCCGCTCCCCCCGCTCTCCCCGCTCCCCCCGCTCTCCCCGCTCCCCCCGTTCTCCCCGCTCCCCCCGTTCCACCCGCGTTTGATTTCTCCGCTACATTCCTTCCTCTCTGCACCTCCCGCAACTTCCCCCCGCATGCTCCGCGCATCCCTTTCCTTCCCCGCAGGCGTGGGAGCGCGCGTACGACTTGGCGGAGGGCACGCTCCGCCCGCCCGCGCAGATCTCGCTTCCGCCGAACGTCCCCCCTCCGCCGCACCTGGAGGACTGCTCGGCGCGCACTGCGTTCCGCGAGTCAACGGAGAAGCGCGCGGCGAACGGCGACTCGCCTAAGTGGGCCAACTCGTCCGAGGCCTGCGGATGGGTGCCCCAGCCGCCATGGGTGAGCGCCGCTGGGCGGGAGGTGGCCGTGGGCTGCGTGGTCCCACGTGGGAGGTACTTTGGGTTTCTTAAGGAAGGAGTTCGCTCGAGACAACTCTAAACTCTCTGCAACGCGTGCTTCCTTGCCATTGATTGATCCTCGTGATCCCTCCCCCTCCTTCTCCCCTCTTTCCCCCCTTTCCCCCCCTTTCCCCCCCTTCCCCCACCCCCTCCCCCCCCCCCTCCCCCCCTCCCCGCACACACGACCTGCCGCTCGCCTCTCCCTCTGTATATGTCTGCATGCTTATCGGTTCCTTGAGGGTCCAAAGAACGCAACTTGTTCCAAACAACTCCCCCCTCTCTCCCCTTTTCTCCCTTGCCGCCTCCACTCTTCCCACTCTTCCCACTCTTCCCACTCTTCCCACTCTTCCCACTCTTCCCACTCTTCCCACTCTTCCCACTCTTCCCACTCTTCCCACTCTTCCCACTCTTCCCACTCTTCCCACTCTTCCCACTCTTCCCACTCTTCCCACTCTCCCTACTCTCCCTTCTCTCCGCACCTCTTCCCTTCCGCCTCCTCCCCCTCCCCCCATCTCCCCTCCTCCCAGGTCCGCGGGTCCGACGCGGGCAACCTGGCGGCGACGCGGCAGGCGCAGAGGGACCTGTGGGAGCGGCAGTTCCCGGCGTCGTGCAAGGAGCGGCGGCTTCTGCTGATCGAGTGGTCGCCGCTGGAGCGGCACGGGCTGGGGTCGCAGCTGCACATCATGACGGCGCTCTTCAGCCTCGCCGTCAGCTACAACCGCACCTTCGTGCCCATGCCGGGCACGTACATGCGCGCCAACCACTCCGAGTGCCAAGGTAGGTGGGCGGCCAGGGGGGGGAGAGGGATGGGGTGTGGGCGGGTGGGGGAACTTGTGGATTACCATGCCGGGACTTGTGTTGTAAGTGTCACAGCGGCATGGCCGTGCCCATGCCGGGGGCTTACATGCGCGCTACCACTCCGAGTGCCAAGGTGGGCGGGCGTAGGGAGTCCAGAGAGTTGCTTGGGTGGTGTGGGGACTTTCGGTTGAACCCAAACTAACCATGCTGGGCACATACCATGCGCGGTAACCACCAAACTCACCAGCTTGGGGGCGTACATGCGCGGTAAACCACTCCGAGTGCCAAGGTGGGCGGGTGGGTGCGGAGATGGGTGTCGGGTCTCTTGTGTGGGCGGGCAGGTGTGGGTATGGGTGGTGGAATCGCAGGTGGCTGAGGAGTGCGAGGGCATCCTCTCGCCCTCATCACTTGCCATGCGTTTCATCTTCCTGTACCCCCCAGCCGCACACCATATTGTCATACCCCACTCCCTCCTTCCCCCTCTGTTCCAAGCTCAGTCATGGGCAAGGGCGTCTCGTTCGGGGTCCAACCAAGGAGTGTGGGGACTAGTTCCCCCCAACCCCCCCCCCCCCCCACCTTCCCTGTCTCATCACTGGCGCCCCTCCCTCTGTACGCCACCTCCATAACCCCCGTTATTCCAGCCATCAGCAAGAGCGCAACCTTGGAATGCTGCTTCAATCCCCATCTCGTTCAAGTCAAGGAGTGCGAGGACATGGCACCCCGTCTCTTCCCCCTTCCCTTCTCCCCACGTTCAGTTCGGCCCAGGGCAAAAGCGCAAGAGCGCAACCTTTAGTGGCCAATGACGTGACTTTTGAGTCGACTCAAAAGTCACCAGGGCAAGAGCGCAACCTTTAGTGGCCAATGACTGCATGGACTAGTCATCAAACGCCCCCTCTCCTGTCACACTCTTCCCTCCTTCCCCCCTCCAAGCCGTCGGCAAGCCCGCGACGTTTGAGTGCTGCGTCTTCCCCTTGGTACTTATGGAGTGCCAGGGCATGCCACTCCCTCTCTTCTTCCCCCTTCCCTTCTCCAATCTCCCAGCCATTGGCAAGGCTGCAACGTTCGAGTGCTACTTCTTCCCCATGGTGTCGAAGGAGTGCGAGGACTTTCGTCGTACCCCCTCTCTCATGTCACGTTTTTCCTTCCCTCTTTGCTTCCCTCTTTCCTTCCCTCTTTCCCCCAACCGTGACCTTTGAGTCGACTCAAAAGTCACCTCATGTCACGTTTGACCCCCCCTCTTTCCCCCAACCGTCCACACCCTACTCCAGCCATCGGCAAGGCGGCAACGTTCGAGTGCTACTTCTTCCCCATGGTGTCCAAGGAGTGCGAGGACATGGCCATGGAGGAGCACAAGGCGGGCCGCATCCCGCCCTGCCCGGACTTCCGTGGGCTGGAGGGCGCGCTCAGGTCCGACAGCCCCGTGGTGTGCGCCAACGACGAGGACTACAACTTCCTCAGGCTCCGCTCCGATGCTGCCCGGTGAGATGCGGTTGTAGTTGCAACCTTGAGACTCCCTGAGGGAATTCATAGGGGTGGGATGCCGACTACAACTTCCTCCGGCTATCGAGGGCTGGAGTCCGACCGCCTTGTGGTGTGCGCTGACGTCGAGGACTATACAATATAGCTTCCTCCGACTCCGCTCCGATGCTGCTCGAGGGTGCTCCTGAGTTTGGAAGCCTCGAGGGGGGCGCCAACAGCAGCAACAACGACCATAGCTTCACCGCATGATATGTAACATGCAGCACTTTATACACCACCAGCCTTACTCCGTATCTCGCCCCTCTCCTTCTCCCACCCCTGCCACTGCGCTCCGCCCCTATCCCCTTCCCCCCCCAGGGAGTGGGACCACGCGTTCCTGCAGCGGCCCAATGTGGTGGAGCTCACTGGCTCCATGCAGCCCGTCAACGAAGTGCAGCGACAGGTGGGAGGGGGGGGGCAGAAGGGAGGGTCTGGGGAGGTAGACAGGAGGAAAGGGGTTGGCTTGCGTTGCAGGGTGTATGGCGGGTGCACGGCTCCATGCAGCCCGTCAGCCAAATGCCTCGACAGGTGGGAAGGGAGGGGGGGGGGGGGGGGGCAGGGGGGGTGGGGGAGAGAGAGATACACGGGAGATACATGAGATACATGGGGTGGGCTGCTTTGCGGCGCAGGGTAGACTTGGGTGCACAGCACTGGCGTGCTCTCCCCTCTCCAGGTCCTTTATCCCTGCTCTGGCTTTCCACATTCTTGTTCACTCACTCCAGGTCCTTTACTCTTCACTCTCCTTCACTCTCCTTCACTCTCCTCCACTCTCCTTCACTCTCCTCCACTCTCCTTCACTCTCCTTCACTCTCCTTCACTCTCCTTCACTCTCCTTCACTCTCCTTCACTCTCCTTCACTCTCCTTCACTCTCCTCCACTCTCCTTCACTCTCCTCCACTCTCCTTCACTCTCCTTCACTCTCCTTCACTCTCCTTCACTCTCCTTCACTCTCCTTCACTCTCCTTCACTCTCCTCTACCCCCACGACTCCGTTTTTCACGCACTCCAATCCACCCTTCTCCCCTTACGGCCCACCACTCCCACCACCACCCCCACCACCCCCACCACCCTCATCACCCCCACCGCCCCCACCGCCAGATCCACTGGTGGCGCGCGCAGGCCATCCGCTTCATGCTGCGCTGGCCGTCCGCGTACATGTGCCACATCACCAACCGCGTGCGCCACAGCGCGTACGGGCTGCAGATCGCCATCCACCTCGTGAGCGCCGCCGCGGAGCAGGAAGCCATCATCCGCGCGCTCAAGCCCGACGACGCGCACAAGGGCCTGGCGATCAACTACGGCCAGGAGATCAACACGCTCTCCCACATCAACTTCTCCGCGCCGAACCTCGAGAACGAGGTCTGGCCGGGGCTGGATTTCGCGGGGTGCTCCCTGGACAGCCACACGGATCCCCAGAGGCCGAAGCACGCAGCGGACTCGGTGTATGAGGGTGTGGGGGGGGAGCCGTACATCCCTCGGCCGATCGTGAGCATGCATGTGCGGCAGGGGGACAAGGCGGGCGAGATGCGGCTGATCTCGTTCCCGTCGTTCATGTTTATGGCTAACAGGCTGCGGCGCAGGATACCGCACCTCAAATACGTGTGGCTCAGCACGGAGATGCAGGTCAGTGTTAGCACCCTGCGCTGGCAGTGAGTATTGGCACTCACGTGCAGGTGGGAGGGAGGGGGTACGAGGGGGGTCAGCACGGAGATGCGGGTGAGTGAGGGGGTTTGTATGTGATGGTTGCTGGTGACTTTCGTGATTTTCGATACTTTCTTTCGCCTCCCACTCGCCATCTCTCTTTCTTCTGCCCCACTCCCCCTTCCTTCCTCCTTTCCCCTTCCTCCATCTTGCCACCATCCCTCCCCACTCCCTTCTGCAGAGCGTGGTGGACCAGTCTCAGCAGTACAAGGACTGGGCGTTTCTCTACTCCACCAACCCGCGCCAGAACGGGACCACGTCCATCTTTGAGTACGAGCAGAATGCGGGAGTGGCCAAGCTAGCAGGAATCAGCCTGGCCAACCTGCTCATCTCCTCGCAGTGCGATTTCTACGTGGGCGCGCTGGGGTCCAATTGGAACCGGCTTATCAATGAGCTGAAAGCGACCAGCGGGAGGGTGTATTCGGGGTATGCATCGGTTAATTTTGATGAGTGGTGAAATGCATATAGTTTAATGCACTGTATTGTGATGTACTACTGTAGCTGTGGTCTGAAGAACACCAGTGCAGTGCAGGTGTACTTGGAATATCATGTTGAAATCTGAACTAGGAAGAACAGAGGAGGCCGCCATGAAGTGGCGGCCAAGGGTTTAGCTAGAAGCTGGACGAGAGTGTCGAGAGAGAAGAGAGTAGACTAGAAGAGAATGAAGTACAAGAAGGGGGTTGTCCCCCCTACAGTAGGATGCAGTTAGTAGCATAACTACCAAGCCTACAATTATATAAGAATATAATTTGAACACACCCCCTAGGCTTGGTAGTGGCAAACCCACACAACCCACACACACACCCCCTAACCCCGGACACCCTCATTCTCGTGAGCAGCCGGGTATCGACCCCTCGTGCTAGGCTATGACACCCCCGGTCGAGAGGCAGCTGGCCGCATCTGGGCGGCCTCAATGACGACAGCGGCGGAGCTCGTGCTCAAGGCGGCTGTGTCGATGAGGACAGGCGGCGACTGCGGCGGCTGAGGGCTCTCGGCGGTGTGGCACGGGCTGGCGACGACCGAGCCGAAGACAGCAGCTACGGCAGGAGCAGGAGGAGATGCAGGGGAGGGAGAGGTGGTGGGGCTGCTGTGGTGGGGCTGCAGGACTTCAGCGCGGCGCCATAGGCGCGGCGCTTACTGGAGGGAGGAGCAGGCGGGACGGGGCCCAGGAGGGGCGCGACTGGGCTAGGAGGCACGGCAAGGCCCAGGAGGGGCGCGACTGGGCTAGGAGGCACGGCAGGGCCCAGGAGGGGCGCGACGTGGGTAGGAGGCACGGCAGGGCCCAGGAGGGGCGCGACGGGGAGGTGGAACGGCGGAGCCGCCACGTCAGGGCGGCAAGCCCAGCACGGCTGCTCGACGTGGCAGCCATGCGACATGGCCGCCACGGCGGCACGGCAGGAGCGACGAACGCACGAGAATGTTAACGTAGAAACGAATGATTACTAGAGGTGGAAACCTAGAACAAATACTAGTTGGTTGTACTCACTAGAAGCATACCTCAGTCTAGCCTATAACTTCTACATAGATAATATGTATAAGTTGACACACCCCCTAGGCTAGACAAGGGGTGAAACTAAACAAGAAGCAAACAGCTCAGGGCGGCACTACTAGTCCAACCACTGAGGCAGGGGTCTGGAGACCAGTCAGCAAGAATACAACCAAAACTGAAGCAAGCCAGGGTGGCACTACTAGTCCAGCCACTGGAGGTAAGGCCACAAGGCCAGTCTGACAAGCATATATAATAGAGAGTACACAATCAGGATCCTAACAGGGGAGCAGCTATTGGAACAAGACCAAGCTGTACACAGTGCCGCTGATGATCTTTAGGCGCAAGCGCCTTAGTAAAGATATCAGCTGTGTTGGCACCTGAGGCCAAGTGAACTACGCGGGCCTGGCGGCGCTGCTGTAGCTCGCGCAGGAGGAAGTACCGCAGCTGGATATGCTTCGCTCTGCCCTCAAGCCGAGGCTCCTGACACAGGAGTATCATGGCCCTGTTGTCAGCGTACAGGACCGGGGCAGAGCTAGGCCGCTCACCTAAGTCTGTGAGCAAGAAGGTCAGCCAGCGGAGCTCCTGTGCCGCCATGGCACCAGCGTAGATCTCAGCCTCACAGCTAGACTGAGCCACAGACGACGAGCGAGTGGATCTCCAAGAGATAGCACCCGAACCAAGGCTGAAACAGTAGCCCTGCGACGACCTGAGCGTCTCAGCGTCGTCTGCCCAAGAAGCGTCTGTGTGCCCAGTAAGGACCACTGGCCTGCGTCCTCCTAGCACTAACCCCATGCCTGATGTACTAGCAAGATAACGCAAAACCCTCTTAGCGGCAGACCAGTGCTGAGGTCGGTGTCTGCCTGTAGCCACAAAGCGAGCCAGGATGCTGAGAGGGTATGCGAGATCTGGGCGAGTGCAAGTCATCAGGTACATGAGGCAACCCACCAGCTCTGCGTAGGGGCCACTGGGCTCTACTGGCTCCTCAGGAACGGGAGCAGAGAGCCCATGGTCTACGGGTAGAGGTGTGGGCTGTGCGGAGGAGAACTGAAGACCGAACCTCTGAAGGACCTGACGCACCAAGTGTGACTGGGTCAGAGTGATGGTGCGTGCTGCTCTGTCCCTAGAGATCTGCAGGCCAAGATAGCGACGCAGCTCTCCAAGGTCAGTGCAGGTGTGTCTCTTCAGCAGCTCAGCCTTCACAGAGGCCAGTGCGTCCCTGTCAGGAGTAGCGAAGACCAGGTCGTCTACGTAGACAAGGATGTAGAACGGAGTCTGGCCGGAACGCACAAACAGTGAAGGGTCAGCAGAGGACGGAAAGAACTGCAGGTCTGCTAACGTGGCACGTAGCGTGTCGTGCCACTCGCGGGGAGCCTGACGCAGGCCGTAGACCGGGCGCCTGAGAAGCCACTGGGTCCCAGGAGGGAAGGTACCAGTGAAGCCCTGTGGTCGGCGCAGGTAGACCTGCTCGTGTAGGCTGCCCTGAAGAAAGGCAGTAGAGAAGTCGAGAGAGTGAAGCTCGTAGTCACGCTGTGCTGCTACGTGTAGCAGCGCCCGAAGAGTGGTCATCTTCGGGGTCGGGGCGAAGGTCTGGAAGAAGTCAACCCCCTCGCGCTGACTGAAACCTCTGGCCACGTAGCGCGCCTTGAAGACAGGCGGCTCTCCAGGGGGGCGCTTCACCTTGAAGAGCCACCGACCATCGACTACGTTCACCCCAGGCGGGGGAACTGCGTCGACGTAAGTGCCGGTGGATCTCCAAGATGCCATCTCCTGCTCCATGGCAGCTATCCACTGAGAGGCCCAAGGTCCCGAGGTGGCCTCAGCGTAGGTGCGAGGGGTCGGGATGTCGAAGGCGTCTGGGTCACCCTCAGGGACTAACAGCATGGAGCAGAGATGGGGAGCAGCCTCGGAAAGGAAAGCCAGCTCGTACTGCCTGTCCTCTAGGACGTCACTGCCAAGGGCAGGAGCACCCCCGACGGACAGAGGACGGGCAGGGTCAGAGACCAGAGCGGTAGCGTAGTCAAGGCGGCGGGTAGAAGCGAAGTCAGCGACAGCAGCGACAAGCGCGTCAAGGCGCGAGACAGGAACAGCAGGGTCGGTAACAAGAGAGGCAAGGACCCGAGGGACAAGGGGACGAGCAGCACGGAGGTAGTCAGAGAACGGAGGAGGTGCAACAGCAAGGGACGAGGGAGGAGGGGACGGGAGGAGGGGAGGACGAGACGAGTGGGAACGGAGCAACATAGGGTGGGTGGGCAGGACAGGAGAGACGGGACGAGCACGGGAGGGACGGCGAGCCCAAACGTGAGACGGAGGGGTAGGGTCAGGGGACAGCGGAGGAGACACAGGAGGGGAACGAGGAGGAAGACGGGCCGGAGACGAGTCTGGCGGCGGGAACACAGGACCGTAGACAGGGAGGTCAGGAGGCGGTGGGGGAGACACCGGCGCGCGGTCCGGGGAGGGAAGGCCGAGCAGGCGGAGAGTGGAAACCGGCGGCGACGGCTGCTGTGGCGGCGACGACGGCTGGGCCGGAACTCTCGGACCAGCAGAGGCAGAACGACCGTCGGCAGAACACTCAACAGCAGCACCCCCAGAACCAACACCCCAAGAGCGAGAACCCCCTCCAACACCAGCGGAACCCCCAGAAGCCGCAGGACGAACACCCTCCTCCACACCAGCACCCCCAGGGGCCGAGAGCAGCGGCGGCAGAGGCGGCGACAGCGGCGACGGCTGCGGCGGCGACGGCGACGTCGGCGGCAGCGGGGTCGGCGACTGCGACAGTGGGGGCGGAGGCACTGGGGAAGGGGGACGCGGCAAGGACGGACCGGGGGTACCACCAGAGTCAGCAGACTCCTCAACGGGGACAACCGACGGGAGGGGAGTGACGTGGGAGACACCAGACGGGGCAGGACGAGGCGGGAGAGGGGCAGGGGCTACCGGGGGAGAGGGAGCAAGGAAAAGGGGGGGGCAACTGGGAGACCTCGGTGAGGGAAGCGGCGGTAGAAGGAGACGGACTCGTCAAAGGTGACGTCACGAGAGTGGAGGAAGCGGTGAGACGGCGGGTGGTAGAAAAGCCACTCAGACGAGTCCAGGGGGAAACCGAGGAAGACACAGGGGACAGTGCGGGCAGTGAGCTTGTCCGTGCCAGAGGCACGAACGTGAGCAAGGCAGCCCCAGACGTGGAACGCAGACGCGTCACCGGGGGACCCGGTCCAAAGGAGGGTCGGCGAAACCTGCGGCCGCTGGGAGCGTGGCCACAGGTTAAGCTGGTGAGCCGCGTAGCGAACAGCGAACGGCCACAGAAAATGGGGGGCATCGGCATGGATCATGGAGGTACGGGCGACCTCCATGACCAAGCCGATGCGGCGCTCAGCAACCCCATTCTGCTGTGGCGAGTCCGGCAACGTGTACGACTGGGTGATGCCCTCCGCACGACAGAACTGTCCAAGCCGACCAGAGGCGAACTCGCCGCCACGGTCGGAGTGGAGACACAACACGGGGAGACTGCGGTGGAGACGCGCAGCTACAACCCACGGGAGAAGAACGTCGGGCACGTCGGCCTTCCGCTCCAGGGGAAACACCGTGGTGTAGCGCGTGTAGTCGTCAACGAGCACAAGGAAGTAGCGCTCACCGCGCGGTCCGGGGACGGGGGCAGGGCCCCAAACGTCCAAGTGCAGGGTCTGAAGGGGGGCAGTAGCAGGACGCAGCGAGGAAGAGTGAGGAGCACGGCGGAGCCGACCCTCGACGCAAGGCGTGCACGGTGGCGCAGTCGAGGGAGGAAGGGCAGGGAGCGACGCGGGGAGACCTAAGACAAGACCGTGCTGGGACATGTGACGCAGACGCGGGAGAGCAGGGTGACCTAAGCGGTGGTGCCAGAGAAGGGAGGGGTGAGTGAGGGACCGACACGAGCAAGCTGCAGCGACCTGGGAGGACGCACCAACCGGGGGGGAAGCGGTGTGTAGGGTAAACAGACCGGACACCGGGTCCCGGGGGAACGTCGCAAGGGGGGAACCTGAGACAGCCTCAGAACAGACAGCGAACCGCTCGTGCCCGGGGAACGTGGTGGTGACGCCGAGGTCCTGGAGACAGCCGACACCAACCAGGTTCCTGGAGAACGAGGGAACGTGGAGGCCAGTAAGGGAGCCCGAGGGAACTGCCGGACAGGGAAGGGACGTAGAACTGCGCGCGACGACCGGACCCGCAGAGGGGTCAGCGAGAGAGACAACAGCAGGTGCAGCAAGCGGCGTGAGCGTGGAACGGTCGCGGAAGAAGCAGGCAGAAGCACCAGAGTCGAGAGTGAAGGACAGCGACGCAGTGGCGGAGGCCGCGGACGGAGCCGGTGCAGCGACTAGACTAGGCAACCTAGGCAGTCCTACGCCTGTCGCAGCAGGGGAAGCTAAGCTACACAAGGGTGAAACACCTAAACTAGAGTACACATGGTAGTAAGATCCATCAACACTAGAAGCGTCAGCATACAAAGCATGCAAAGCAGCACCTATCTGATCCATGTCTAACTCAAAGATCGGCACGCCCTGGCGGAGCAGGCTGTGCCAGTCAGGGAGGTCCGAGGCTGGGCCAAAGCGACGACGAAAAAGATCGTCGAGGCGGCGGAAACAGTGGGCGGTCGGGTGCGGGCGGCGGCACAGAGTGCCGCGGAGAGGCCCGGTCTGAAGCTGGTACTGGCAGGTCACAGCACTGGAGCCGCTGGTAGACGCCAAGCTGCGCGGGCCGCCACCACGGCCACCGCCTCCGGAGGTGCCGGGCCAACCAGGCGGGAGACGAGCCCACGGCTGCGGCGGGTGCTGCTGGGACGGCGGCTGCGGCTGGGGCTGGTCCTGCTGCTGCTGGGACTGCTGCTCCTGCCCACCGGTGGTAGTCCCCTCAGGCGGACTACCGTCACCACCACCACGACCACTACCACCTGCGTCACCACCCCTACCTCCCTGGCGGCCACGGCCACCGCGACGCGAGCGCTGCTGCGGGTGGACAGCAGCAGCCGTCTCGGTAAGAGGGGTCGCCGTGGCGACCGCAGCCGAAACGTCAGTGAACGTGCACGGGGATGGGGCACAACCGTGAAAGATAGAGACTGCCGGCGCACCGCTCGACTGAGCGATAGTGCGCTGGCGAGTCTCGATCTCAGTGAGGGTGTCGACAAAGGCGGTCAGGGTGAGGTCACCCGGGTGCTGGCTAAGAAAGTGGTCGCGAGCACTAGCGAGGCGGTCTGGCAGGCGCATAGCGATAAAATAGAGCGTCATGCAGAAAGGAGGGGGGAGCGCAGTGAGCTGGGCAGCAGTGCTGGCAGTGCGATAGCGAGTCTCTAGGGCACGCAAATGAGTGGCAAAATCTGCGACAGTAGGGAAGGCAGCCAGGTCTGGGAACAGCATCGGAAAGAGCAAGCGGCCAGCAGAAGCGGAGGCAGGGGTGGAATAGCGAGCAATAACGGCTTCTAAATAAGCTTTGGCCGTTTCAACAGTAGCAAAACGCGAGCGCTCAGACACAGGGAGGGCGTGACTAATAGCAACCTGAGCTACTGCATCGCGTGAGTCCCAGACCGCACAGGCTAGCGCAGCAGTAGAGAAAGCCTCACGGTCATCAGAGGAGGGGTCAGCAGGGAGGGGAGTAGGTGCAGGGGGACGGGGGAGCAAGCCATCAGCATGGACAACCAGAGAGTGGCCATCCTGGCGCTGACCTGTAAGCTGGCGGCGAAGATCGGAGAGCCAGGCGGCGAAGTCAAGTGCGTGGCCCTCAGCGTCCAGGCGGAGCACAAAGTCAGCCATCGTGCAGGGTCAGCGGCACAGCTCCTCAGCGACACAGCGGCACAGCAGCACAGCTCCTCAGCGGCACAGGAGCACAGCGGCGCGGGGACACGGCGGCAGCACTCTCCAGTAGGGCAGCAGCTAGGCGTCCCAGCGCAGGCAAGCAGAAGACACAGGGCCCGAGAGGACACGGCAGGCCGAGCAGGGGAGGCGGGCAGGTGCTCTAGGGCCGGGCTGGTGCTGGGAGGGGCCAGGCTGGTGCTGCTGGGGCCGGTCGGGCACGAGGAGGGGCCGGGCAGCGCTGAGGAGAGGCCGGGCGGCGCTAGGAAGGGGCCGGGCGGCACTAGGAGGAGGCCGGGCGGCACTAGGAGGAGGCCGGGCGGCACTAGGAGGAGGCCGAGCGGCACTAGGAGGAGGCCAGGCGGGCGAGCGCTAACAGCAGGCGCGACAGGGGCCAGCGGGCGCGACGGGGCCTAAGGGGCGCGACGGGGCCCAGCGGGCACGACGGGGCCCAGGGGGGGCGCGACGGGGCCGAGGAGGCGCGACGGGGACCAGCGGGCACGACGGGGCCCAGGGGGGGCCGCGACGGGGCCTAACGGGCGCGACGGGGCCCAGGGGGGGCGCGACGGGGCCTAGCAGGCGCGACGGGGCCTAGAAAGCGCGAAGGGGCCCAGCGGGCGCGACGGGGCCTAGGAGGGGCGCGACGGGGCCGAACGGGCGCGACGGGGCCCAGAGGGGGGGGACGCGACGGGGCTTAGGAGGCGCGACGATGCCTAGGAGGCACGACGGGGCTCAGCGGGCTCGACGGGGCCCATGGGGGGCGCGACGGGGCCTAGGAGGCGCAACGGGGCCCAGCGGGGGCGCGTTAGGGCCTAGGGGTCGCGACGGGACCCAGCGGGCGCGACGGGGCCCAGGGGGAGCGCGACGGGGCCTAGGAGGCGCGACGGGGCCCAGCGGGCACGACGGGGCCCAGGGGGGGCGCGACGGGGCCTAACGAGCGCGACGGGGCCCAGGGGGGGCGCGACGGGGCCTAGGGGGCGCGACGGGGCCTAGGAGGCGCGACGGGCGGAAGCGGTAGGCGGGGGGATCCTAACCTAAGCGTGATACCATGTTAACGTAGAAACGAATGATTACTAGAGGTGGAAACCTAGAACAAATACTAGTTGGTTGTACTCACTAGAAGCATACCTCAGTCTAGCCTATAACTTCTACATAGATAATATGTATAAGTTGACAGAGAATGCAGCGGAAAGCACGGAGGGGAGCAGGCCCAGGAAGGGCATCCCGCTCTCGATACCATGTTGAAATCTGAACTAGGAAGAACAGAGGAGGCCGCCATGAAGTGGCGGCCAAGGGTTTAGCTAGAAGCTGGACGAGAGTGTCGAGAGAGAAGAGAGTAGACTAGAAGAGAATGAAGTACAAGAAGGGGGTTGTCCCCCCTACAGTAGGATGCAGTTAGTAGCATAACTACCAAGCCTACAATTATATAAGAATATAATTTGAACATATCATTCCCTGCATATTTCAATTCAGTAGACCTGGCAGCTAGCAGCAGCCACCACTTCAGGGACACATTCCATCGCGACTGCAGAGACCAAGGGCATGCAGTACAAACGTACATACCGTGCAGACAAACATGAAGCAGTGTAGCACGTACATTACTGTACACTAATGTTTTGAGACGTTTCAAAACACATACATCACTGTACGCACGCACTAGTTACAACTTCAAATCCAATGCATCAATCAATCACACCCCACAGCCAGCAGTAGCGAGGTCGGAGAGCGGGACTGGGGCATCGGGCGTGCACTTGTGCGGCATGAAGACGGCCCCCGGGCGCATGGAGTACATGACAGCGGAGCGCGAGAAGCCCGACTCGGGGATGACCAGCAGGTCTGTGGACGCCAGCAGCAGCCACTCCGCCACCGTCTCCTGGTACCACGCCGGGTCCGCCGCGTGCGTGCTGGAGTTGGGGTCCTTGCTGATCGCCACGTGCCGCGGGACAAAACTCGTGACCACCGCCTGGGGGAAAGACAGGGGGAGGGGGAGGGGGTGGGGGAGGGGGGGGGGGGGAGGAGGATGGGGGATAATGCATTGCAGAGGGGGGGTAGGCTCCCTGCCTGCAAGAAACAGGCAGCAGGAAGGGGCTGCTGCAACGAGAAGGAAAGGCAGAAGGGTTTATGAGGCCGGTGGGAGCAAGGGTATGCTTTTGAGGCGACTCAAAAGCAGGGTTTCTGAGGAGCAGTGGGAGCGGCGATATGCAAAGCGAGAAGGGAATCTCAACAAAGCAGCTCAACAGTGAGCTCCAAACAGCGAAGGGAATGCATCTCAATACCTTGTCGGGGAATTTGTCGCGCACGGCTATCTTGAGCTGAGCGGAGTTGCAGATGAAGAACCACCTGATCGTGAGAGAGGATGGACTCCACCACCGCTCCAACTCCTGATGGCAGCACGCAGTAAGTAAGGGAGCAGGCAGCAAAAGCAGATAATACAGAGCGAACAAAATGTAGCATCCAAAATCAGTAAGCACAAGATAACAGTAGCAGTTGAAACAAGTGCTTGGGTGAGAGGAACAGGAAAACCGGCATCTTCCGTATCCATTGATTCGCATCCATTGCACGATTGCCAGCCACAAAAGCATGTGTCATCACCATCAATTGCTTGCCTCTGTGCACCCAACGACCCACTCTGTTGCACCCATCTGTTCATTCTGTTACACCCGCCCTCGGTCACAACTCTTTCTAGCGTCTGCCCACTGTCTCCCCCTCTCGCCCTCCCCTCACCTGCGCGCACTCAAGAGCCCCTTTATTCTCGTTATAGAGCTCCTCGACTTGAGACGAGTTGAGCACCTTGGGAACTCCCATACCATCCCAGGCGTCCTCCCATGTGACGCCATCCATCAGGCGCGTGTGAATGCCTATGCTCATGCCGTTAGGCGGGTGCACCTGCTCCGCAATTCCCTTCACTAGATGCCACACCTCCGGCTTGGGGCTATTCGGGGTTCAGGGGGGAGAATTCAGGGCAGCGCAAATTTGAAAGTGATTAGGGTTTAGCACAGGGAAGAGCAATGGGGACATGAGCATGAGAATGAGAGCTGCCTCTGAAAGCTCAGAACTCAAGGCACGTGCTGCCTGCCCGCCTGATAGCCCACCCACTTTCTCCAATTTTTTAAACCCCCACCCTCCTATCTTCCGACTCCCCTTTCTGTAGCCCTTTTTCTCCTTCCCATACCCTCTCCCGGACAACCTACCCTTCAGCCCCACAACTCCCTTCAACGAGAAATCAACCAAGCACCCACCGCACCAGGAGGCGCATGACGCAGGCGAAGGCGTACGGCGGGGTCAGCCCGATGCCTCTGAACCGATCCGCCCACGCGCCCTTGGCCCTGGTGAGCAGATTGAACAGAATCCCGCGGTTCCACACCACCCCGATGTGCGATATCCCCGCCAGCTTCCCAAAATACGCCTCGGGCTCTGTAACGTTCATGTTGTAAAGGCTTAGACGCGCGTACGGCGCATTGGGGGGGTTATTCTCGTCCATAATCTGCGGCGAGTCATCGAACACGGGGATGTCGTCGCTGACGCGCCAGTCGAAGGTGGCGGGTTCGAAGGCGTGCGGCAGCCATTCCTGGCGCATGAGGAAGGCTCGCTCGTCCAGAAGCGCCACGGCGAACGTGGACGCCATCCCAAACACCGTGTCGCCAAACCCGTCGTGCCCCGAGTCAAAGATCAGCGTGCGGCACCGCGAAGGGGGTGATGGCAAGGGAACGGTGGAGGAGGGGGTAGCAGCGGACGGAGGGGCGACAGAAGGACCGGCGGAAGCAGCAGTGGCGGCTGCTAGTAGCGCCTCTTCTTTGCAGGCGGCGCGCACGCGGTCGTTGATGGCCATGTACGCCTCCCGCAGCGACCCGCACAGGTGGTCCGGAAACGCGAAGTCGAACGGGTGCGGGATTCCGGGCCCCGTCTCCGCGTGGAACTAGCTATGCGCGGAGAGGGGGAAAGGGATGCGCGGAAGGGAGGCAGCGATGGCAGTTGACAAGCAGGAGGCGGGAAGGAAAGGGGGAAGGAAAGCGGAAGAAAAGGGAGAAAATGTGGGAGTACGTGGAGGGCATAGTAAGATGAAGGGGCGGCTTAGTTTTGGATGCAACTTGCACCACTGTTGAACGATCTTGCCCATCATGATAGTTTAGGGCTTAGGGGCGGTCTTGCCCATGACTAAGAGGATGGGGCGGTCTTGCCATGACAGGACAAGCAACCGAGGCTCGGAACGTCAGAAGCACGAATTTATTGTCTTGCAACGACGGCATCATGATACGCCCAGAGTTGGCGCTCTTTCTCTCAACGCGCCTCAAAGATCGCCTCAAGACAGCAGCATAAAGGGCCATGGTAGGCGATCTTTCTTTCTGGGCGCCTCAAATATCGCCTAAAGGTGGCAGCGTGCCGCGAGCGATGTTCTCTAGGCTGCCAGCTGGCCGGAGAGCAAAGAGGTGGGAACTACTAGCGTGAGTGCGGGAGTTTCTTGAATCACAAGGTCAGCACCAGAGACCGACGGCCAACAGAGCTTCTTAAATCCGAGCTTCTAACCTGTAACGGGCCTCAAGTACCGCAGCGTTTCGCTCACATTATGCCTGGCATGCGTGAAGCGGAGAAGTAGTAGCAGCAGCAGTAGTGGTACTAGTGGTAGTGGTAGTAGAGTGCTTCCTTCCAGCAAGGGGGCCGTTACTCTGCACGGCCGAGGTGCCGGCATCAAGATTGCTGGGGAAAACGCTTGGACGTTACGCGTACTACTAGTACTAGCACTCATGATATTGTAGCGGATTGAAAGTAACTTGGGGAAAGGAGAGCGGGGAGTGCGGCGCAGACAGCGGAGAGGGTACCAGTACTGTACTATAAATAGTTCTAGTAGCTGTGCTCCTAACTTGGAGACGACTTATATTCTGCAGGGATTTACAGGTGCTAGGGTTTGAGGAGAAGCACCACTACCTGTCCGCTGCCGCCTGTTCTTGACTCGGGGACGAGCTCTCGTCCATCATGACGCTTTCCCGGTGCGCGCGGACCTCGGAGGCCTCTATTGCCGCGGCAACCCCTGTGAAGCTCGCGGGACGAGTCAGCCAGAATGCGCGCGGCATCCCTGGGTATCACCTCCCCTGGGATTGAGAATTGAGGAGATGCAAGTACAGTATGACAGCCAGGAATCGTGCATCCCGGGGAATCATTATGCCCTCTTCTCTTTCCCCCCGGGTGACATGACGAGTCGTCGTCACCATGCGGGAGTGGAGACTTCTTCTCGTTTGAGTCACGCTCGAGTACCCTCTGCCTCCCATTTTCTACTGTAGTGGTCCCCAAACTTTCGCCCCAGCAACATCACAATCACCTTGAGAATTCCCGCAGGTTGACTAGGTCAGACTCCCATCCCAGTCCACACCACACGAGTCATTACTGCCAGCACGGGGAGGTCTCTTCGTTCTCCTGGAGGACTGGCTGGCAGTCGAATCTCCAGCGTAACCGTAGAGCAATTGGCGTGAGCCGACAGCAGGCAGGGCAGGCAGGGTCCCGTTCGCTGCAGTCGTTACTTGCTACACCGTTTTATATTTTCACTTCAGATGAATTTCCATCCGTCTGCCTTTGAAACGACTAAATCTTTCACCCCATTTCGGCATATTCAAAATGGGACTATACACCTAGCCCGCGGTATTTTTACACCCAGTATTTTCACAGGGGGTGCCGCCGAGAGAGTATTCACCCCCCGAAAGCAGCTCCCGAAGACCAGATATGGATAACCTTGAAAAACAATTTGATGTTGGATTTCTACATGAAACGTTTACTACACAATTTAGTGTTTCACGAGTCAGGAAGCCCGAGTCAGGAAGCCCGACATCAGCTTAGGCAGTGCTCAAAGTTTTTGCCAGTGTGGAGTCTGCCAGGCTTAGGCCGTAGGAACAAGGGGGTACTATCTAAGCACTCAAAAATGGTCAGAGTGGAAACAAAAATTCTTCTGCCACACAATTTCAGGGAGTTAATTTTCCGCAGGCTAAGTGTACATAGCAAGAGTGACGAAAGCATAGAACATGGATGTTGCGACATATCAAACCCGAAACCCCAAACCAGCAATCTACCATATGATGGCAACCATAATGCCAACCATGTTGGCAAGCCAGCGCTAGCTAAGGGCGCATTCCAGTCCCAAATCTTCACGTCCCAATCCCCAATTTTAAGCAAGTCGGCCATGGGGGCGTGTTGCATCTTACGTATCTTTTTTTTTCTCTAGGGTGAAGCGAAATTTTGCCCTCACTGTGGAAGACACGCGCAGACGCACGCATCAGACAAAAGAAGTCGAACTCCCCAGAAAAATGCGGCAATAAGCGTCCTGGAAAGGTCCGCAAACCCAAAACATAATAGCCAATCAAAGTGCCTCGACAGGAAACGCGAAATTTGGATGGCTGTCGAGCGCAAACAGTAATTTCGTCACACAGCATTGCAGCAGCGTCAAGCCACTTCAACTGAATACGCACTTCGGTTGGCCAATCGATTGGGACATGAATTGATTGGGACAGGAATGCACCCCTTGTCACGATAAGGAGATTGTTGCATTCCTGAAAGTGACACTCGGGCTGTAACCCTTGTCTAGTCCAAGCTTATGACGCGAACCGCGAAGTGCAACGATCGTTGCAACAAACAAAAGTCCAAGGGCCTAACACGACAGCAAAGACACATAACCGACCCTGTAATACAGCGAAGGCAGTTACCCGAGTCGTGTGCAGTTACCCGAGTTGGATCTAGTGTTAGCATACTAGAATGAATAGAAGCAAGAGAGAACAAGCAAAATATATGATTGGGTTGTACTCTCTAAGAACATACACCTATTCTAGTCTATAACTTCTACATGCATAATGTATGTATAAGTTGACACACCCCCTAGGCTAGATAAGGGGTAGTGCTGAGCAAGAAGTACACAGCTCAGGGTGGCAATACTAGTCCAACCTCTGAGACAGGGGTCCGAAGACCAGTCAGCAAGAATACAAACAAGATAGGAGCAAGCCAGCGCGGCACTACTAGTCCGGCCACTGGAAGAGGAGCCACAAGGCAAGTCTGAAAGATATATATAAAGAGGAGTACACAATCAAGGTCCTAGCAAGTGAGAGTCTACAGGAACTAGACCAAGCTGCAAGCAGTGCCGCTGATGATCTTTAGGCGCAAGCACCTTAGTAAAGATATCAGCTGTGTTGGCACCGGAGGCCAAGTGTACTACGCGGGCCTGGCGTCGCTGCTCCACCTCACGCATGAGGAAGTACCGCAGTTGGATTTGTTTCCCTCTGCCCTCAAGTCGAGGCTCCTGACATAGGAGGATCATGGCCCTCTTGTCAGCATATAGGACCGGGGCAAAGCTAGGCCGCTCACCTAGGTAGGTGAGCAAGAACGTCAGCCAGCGAAGCTCCTGTGCCGCCATGGCATCGGCGTAGATCTCAGCCTCACAGCTAGACAGGGCAACAAATGTGGAGCGAGTGGGCCTCCACGAGATGGCACCTGAACCAAGGCTAAAGTAGTAGCCCTAAGACGACCTGAGGGTCTCAGCGTCGTCTGCCCAAGAAGCGTCTGTGTGCCCAGTAAGGACCACCGGCCTGCGTCCTCCTAGCACTAGCCCCATGCCCGATGTAC